ACCTATCAAACGGTACCCGTTTTGAACTGCTGTGAGTGCGCCATTAAGTTAATTGTCATCCGACCAGCTGTACGGTAGTTTAACAACGGATTAACGTTAAAAGTCTCATTAAACTTCGACGTCATATAACCGGGGGTGGGTTTTGCCCCCTTGTGGGGTTGCTCGTGCCCCCCATAAAGGTTTGTCCTTACTTTAGCGTTGTTTATTAACAAGTTCGTTCGTTTCGATCGTTTTTTTCTTCTCCTCTTATAATATCTTCTGATTTTAATGGCATTCACTTTTTATGGCATAAGCCAGTAAACGAGCAGACGGATCACCTGATGGTAAGCAATAGGTGTCGCCTTTGGACACCTGGAGCACTAGAGGCGTTGCAAGGGCGTTACGGGCCTTTTGGGATTAGAAATTTAAGGATCGGGGATTCAGGGATTGGGGAAGGGGGGCTAGTTACGCCTCCGGTAACCTCACTCACACGACGAAACACAACGCTAGCGTTGTTTCACGTCGGTTTTCTGTGAGGTCGTGGTATCACTCCGGTCGAGCCGGCCCATTTGTGCCGAAGCATGGGTCTCCCATACTTAACTTCATTATTGAGGGACATATAATGAGACTTTGTGATACTCCAAGCCTAAATCACCGTTTTCCAAAATACAAGCTTATAGCTTAGTTTGGATATAATACTTTCTTCGAACTGTCAAAAACGACAGATTTTTATTAATTATGTACGAGATTGTGTATTGTGACGTGAATCTACTGGTACCTAATATATAATTATAATCAAGGTTAAAAAGTCATTAAAAATATATAAATAGGCACATACACATTCACTCGTTAAAGACTTCTGTAATTTTGTCTTCTAATCTTTCCAAATTTACCTGCATAACGTATAATATATTTTAGAGTGATACCTATGGAGTTTCTTGCTCGTTCTTCTCCATAGGAATCTACACCTTGGAATGAGCAAATAGCTTCACTTTTTTTGTTGCCGTTCAAAAGTGCCTTCCTGTGCCTTTAGCCAAACGCCACTTCAGCGCTTGTCTACAGAGAGAGTAGAAACCTAAATGTGACACTTGTCGGTGACACTGACAAGTGTTAAAATTTACGTCAATTCCATATAATTTGGTTTTCTATTCTACATGTAGACAAGCGCTAAATGGCATTTGGCTACAGCTGGTGGTATAATTGAAATAAATTATTTTGACTTTGACTTTTTTGACACTGACGTATTTTGACGCGACGTACCAAATAAACGAGATATTACGAATAACTACAATTAGAAGTATTAAGTACTTACATAGTAAATCTCGTCTACACAGATCTTAGTAAGGTTACAGGTGGTCCTAAAACTTGGCAATTTGAAATAACTCCGACAGGTCAAATACAAGCTTCTTGTAGCTCGCTTCTTTATCAATTAAAAATATAAATTAACAACATTTCGATATTAGGTTAATTTAAGGATATGGTTATAGTGAACGACGACGCCATTTTCGTCATAGTGCGGTGGAAAAAATACATCATATTCTTAAGAGAATAGCATTATACTTTAAATGTAGGTATAATTTGTTTTAACGTATACATACATACATGGTGACTTGTAATTCTACGTTTTTGGTTTTGGTGAAAAAAACCTAATTTAACTACAAAAACATCAATAAATAAAAAAACTACTGGTTAGCTTTAAGTGGCTTTAGTTTTAATTTATTGTCAATACAGCAATAAACATTTATTTATACTAATACTTTCAGAAATATCATTCGTTTTAGAATAGCAAATAGGTAAATTAGTATCAAATTGTGTTTTGAGTAACTAATTTGGTGATTAGAAAACGACATTTAGCTTAAAAATTAATATTACACTAAGCGTACAAACTATTAGAAAAACTTTCTTGGTTTATTAGCTATAGTTCGATCGAGATTTTTCACCATAACCGAAAATGTTGAATATCTCCGAAACTAGACACTTTCGGACCAGAGACCTCGGGACAAATTTTGTAGAAAATTAGTTTTATTATCACCTCCCGAGAGGAATACGTAGAAATACAAGTCACTTGTACTTATATAGCTACAAAAATTTTGCAAGACTCTGTGTAATGTTAAAGTCAAAAGTCAAAGCATTTATTTCAATTAAACCATAGTTTGGTACTTTTGAAACGTCAACAAATACAAAATAAATAATAGTCTGTCAGTCAGTCCGTCAGTGAAACTAGGTGAAGCTAGGTGCTCATTCCAAGAAGCAGATTCGAATGGAGAAGAACGAGCAAGAAACTCCATTCGTTACTCTTTTCAAAAAAAGTATGTTCTACAATGTCTCTGATACATATGTTACTTCAATCTCTATAGGTACCTTATTTCTGGCAGACGTGACATAACTTTGCTTAGACTTGTTTCACTATGTGGCATGTGCCCCGTCGTGTGCCCAAGCACGGATCCACGGGAAATATAATGTATTGTATCTTGTCGCACTCTCAACACAGTGGCGAATAATATAGACTAGACATATTCACCTGTACGCTGACTGAGTTCACGAAGGTGACGTACTAGATAGTTCGCAAGACGTAGATAAGATATAGTAGTTAGTATACTTCTTTTTTTTATTGGTTGTGAATAGATTTTTATGTAAAATTACTTTGTCTCATTTTTTTATGGCGTAAGCCGGTAAACGAGCAGACGGATCACCTGATGGTAAGCAATCGGCGTCGCCCATGGACATCTGGAACACCAAAGGCGTTACAAGTGCCTTACCGGCCTTTTGGGGATTAGGAGTTTGAGGATCGATGGGGATTCATTAGACTTTATTCATTAGACTTAGTCTGTAATGACAATTGGGTATCAAAATTTAAAATCTAATTAGTCCGTCAGTTAGATAATGAAAAAATATTAGACACGTATTGTTTTATTTTCTCGTATTAAGTTGCAATACTTAGATAAAATGGCGCTAAGTTTAGGAATGGGAGGTCGTTACGTCATAACGTGCTACAAAATGTTGCACGCTGTGACGTCACACGATATTTCAAATTAATATATCGTTGAAAGTATTTAATTTTGTGAGATAAGAAAAAATACGTGTCTAAAGTTTTAAATGAATGTACCAGACAGACATTAACATAAAATTTAGTAAACTACCCTATTGACGTCTTGACAGTTGCTTTTACTTGACCAACAATTATTCAAAAAAGATATTAGTTGGGACAAGCCCATCACAACCTCCCAAAACCACTGCGACTCCTGTAAGCCAGGATCTACAGTAGATACAACCGTGAAACCACCGGAACACTGAAGTCCGGCGCGTCGCACAGACATGAATAACAGTCTCGGATCCCGCAACGAAATAAGTCAGAAGATATTAATAGAAGAGAAGAAAAATGCGATAGTTTTCCTTTACACTTCCCTCGGTGAATTCATTTAAAAAAAATTGGACTTGGACCCTTTTCGTCTCTCGCCGTATCGCTAATCGCTTCTCGCTGTGGCCACAACCTTACTTTACCCCACCTACAGTATTTCTTTTTACGGAAATTGAAAAGCTATGAAAAACTGTTTTGCCTTTAACTGGGTTTTCCATTGGAGTGTGAATAAAAAGACGTTTTATCGTCTACTGAGCGCTAATGGAAAAGAATTGCTATTAAAATTGGTGAAAGCCGGATCGAAATATATATTGACTGGATTCGGGTAATATAGCGGATTAGGTGGAGCGAAGCTAACTAACTAGTTAGGGTTGCTAGTGCTCATAGATATTATGCTCTTAAATATTAGGTCGTATCACTACATAGTATAAAACAAAGTCGCTATCCGCTGTCTGTCTGTCCCTATGTATGCTTAGATCTTTATAAGTACGCAACGGATTTTGATGCAGTTTTTTTAATTGATAGATTGATTCTTAAGGAAGGTTTATGTATGATACATGCATATTGCACCCGTGCAAAGCCGGGGCGGGTCGCTAATTTATTCTAAAGTGAGATTCGACTGAAAATTATTGATACAGGCTTCTATTTTCAATATATTGTTTGATTCAATCCATTGCTATGACACTGCAATGGATCTGTATTTCCCTACTGAACCTGTTGCTGTTACTCCCCAATGTATCTGTATGTATCTATTCTATATTTCCCTACATATACAACAATACATCCTTTTCTTCCTAAAAAAAACTCAACATACTCTCATCAGCAGCTGCAGAAAATGACCTAAAATCTTAACCACAAAACCATGAGCAACAAACAACAACAAAGAATTCATCTTCAAACAACATAAGCATTTTAAAAACGACTTTATAATAAAAGTAACAATAAACTTTTACTAAAGCCACAACGTACCAGCCCTAGACGAGCTTCAGAAGCGGATTACACTAGTTTCGCGACATAAACCGTCTCATATTGTGCCAAACACGTCTTTACCGTCATCTCGGGACGTTGCAGACCTTCTTTGTAGTAAGATTTCAAAGGAAACAATGTCTAAGTAAAGAGAAATTGCAAGAGAGTCGTGACGCGTATAAAAGGATCAATGTTTTTAAAACGTTGTATCGGGACAAAGGATGTTCTAAAAAAGGATAGATTTTCGTATTTTGATTTTAGTGCAGTTTTTTTTTACGTATCTGTTTCATTGTTTTATCATTTTGTGTTTAATGTCGAATATCCACTGTCGGGTATAAGGACCAGAGGCGAGTACGAGTTTGTTTTACGTTTAAAGTAAACGAAACGAGACGGCGCCCGGCGATCTGATTGGTTGGTTCATTGGAGCCGGCCAATCACAGCGGCGAACGCGTACTCGTTACGATTACTTTAAACGTATAATTTTGAAAATAAGTACTTACAAATTTTTTTTAAACTTGTCTTTCGTTTCATCATGTCCTGATTTTTTCTGTTTTTTTTTTAGTTCTAGGTACATATTTGTGTAACTATATAAGAATTATTTTTTTAATTTTATTTTTATGTCGCTGTGATCCGGTCGAACATGGCTGTAACCCGGTTTTTAGTCGAAAGTTAGTATTTAAGTGTATTTGGAACTAACCTGTCTGAAGGGCTGAGTGCCAGTGTCGGCGGGTCTCTGTTGCTGGAGCGGGATTCATCTGGAGGGCCCGGCTCTCCTCCACTGCTGTTTGTTTGTCTAGTCTGTAACAATTTAATCATCAATTAGATGTAACACAAGGCATTACACTGCCTGCATAATTGTGGGAGAGCTATGCTTCGGCACGAATGGGCCGGCTCGACCGGAGTGATACCACGGCCTCACAAAAAACCGACGTGAAGCAACGCTTGCGTTGTGTTTCGTCGTGTGAGTGAGGTTACTGGAGGCCCAATTACCCTCCCCTTCCCCAATCTCTCCAATTCCTGAATCCCCAACGACCCTCAAACTCCTAATCCCCAAAAGGCCGGTAACACACTTGTAACGCCTCTGGTGTTTCAGGTGTCCATGGGCGACGCCGATTGCTTACCATCAGGTGATCCGTCTGCTCGTTTACTGGCTTATGCCATAAAATAAAATTACAAACGGTAGGTAGTGCTAGTCTTTACTCTAAATACACCACTAATACACGAGGCATCATCAGTATGTGCTGACCATGTAAAATAGATATCATTTTTTTTGCGCCGTAGGCCGTCTATAGAATGACGAATGCAATTAAATTGATAAGGCAACTAGAACTCTCATTTAGACGACTAAACGTAGACATTACGTCATGACTTCACGGTGGTAGGTATGGTGTCAGAGGATGGTACTTCCCCGTTCCAAATTAGCTTAAATTTATGTTGGTCTAACACTAACCACAAAATATTTTTGAGGGTTTTTGGGGGCACCCATTAACGTTGGAATTATCATGGACCGAAATAGCCAGTTGCCACATACTTATAGTAAGTAGGCATATTATTGTTCTCCTTTAATAATAACTCTAGATTTATTTCGTCGCAGGATCCAAGATAGGTATTCATATCCCTGGGACGCGCTGGACTTCAGTATTCCGGGGTGTTCATGGTTGTATCTACTGTAGATCCTGGCTGACAGGAGTTGCAGCAGTTTTGGGAGGTCGTGGCGGGTCTATCCCATTAAAAAAGGTTTTTTTTTTAAATGTTGCCCTACCCTAGGATTTTCTCCTGTGTTGTGGGTGCGTTTACAAACATATAAATTCACATACACATGACACCCAGACCCGGAACAACAATCTGTGGATCACAAAAAGAGTTGTTCCGTGCGGGAATCGAACCCGACACGTTGCGCGGCAGTCAGTTGCCCAACTATTATGTAGCTACCTGTATATTGTCACTGAACATGGCACACGTTACATTAATTAGGTTACAATTTTATGTGACATGCAACATCGCTTAGCTGATCGATTTATTTGTTACACTGTGTCCAATTCAAAGTTTATTATATGTCATTTTAAAAACAAAGTCTTTCAGTTTTGTTTTATTTTTCTATTTGATCTTTTATCATTTTTTTTTTCATTTTCATTCACTTTATTTTCAACCATGAAAATACTTTAACAGTTTTTTTAACTAGGACTTAGGTAAAACATTTTGATTTATTGTTGAAAATCTTAAATGCTTATTATATTCGACTTTTTTTTACTTGATGGCCGAGTTGTTGTCGCAAGTGCGACTGCCGGGCAAGGGGTCTCAGGTTCAATTCCCGGATAGGGCAAAGTATTACTGGGTTTTTAAAAAAATTCAGTACTAGCACGGAGTTTGGAACTGTGTCCGGTATATGGCAATAGGCTCATCCCCTATTACATGGGACTCGTAACATAAATAGTGAAAAGTGGGTGTTACATTATACAGTGCCATGTGCCGTATTGTTCATCTCTGCCTACCCCCTTCGGGGATAAAAGGCGTGATGTTATATATGCTATGTAGATTTTTTAAATAATATTTCTTATAACACGGTTTCATTTACCAAGAAAGTCATCATGAAGCATGGATACTCCACATGAAGTCAATAAGTCAAGTATATTACTTGGTAACTTCGATTGGTAAAAGCCAAAAGGTCGTGAATTTCCCCCTCGTTTCGAAGTACCTCTCACTCTCAAGGATACAGGTAACGACATACTTAAATGTTACGTAGTTTCCAAATGGGAGGAACTTGGTGGATAGAATGTTCGAGAATTTCAACAATTTCGGTAGCGCAAATCTTGATAGCTAATTGGGATGGTATGTAACTAATGTTGGTCGTGCGTTGCTAGTCAGAAGATAAAGTTCAAAAGCAGACAAAAGGGTAGATGCCTAATTTTTATTTTAATGTCCGTCTGGTAAATTATTTTAAATCATTAGACACGTATTTTTTGTTTTCTTACAGAAACGAATACTTTCGGCTATATATTGATTTTTGACTATGTACATTTTATACTAAGAAATGACGTTTTAGCCCCTACTCCTAAACTTTGATTCGTTTTATCTAAGTATTGTTTTATTTTACGACAAAATAGAAAAATACGCGTGTCTAATATTTTTTCATTAGGTACCTAACTGACGGACTAATTAATTTTTTAATTTTCATACTCTATCATCATCCCAATTAATCTAACTAAGGATGAGGCTGATGCCACATGTTATTACAATCTCTGTCAGGTTTTAATGGTGAGCGATTTTACTGGGCAGATGACTGTCACTTCGTGTAAAATATTGACATTCAATTTTCAGTAACGACTTAGTACCAATTCCAAAAGATGGGAATTCCAAAGAGAATTGAGGGTCCACCAGGACACACCCACGACACAGAAGACAATCTTAACGAGGGGAGCAAGAGCAACATAAGTAAAGAAAAAAGGAAAATACTATGACGGTCTCTGTCTGGGCAAAGGCAATCCGAGGATAAATAAGCTTTGATCACCACACGATATACTTTGAAAAACATCGTTACCTCTAAAATGGTAACGATTTGTTCAACCTTTTTTGTTTTTCATTATTGTTCTGTATTACATATATAAGTATACATATGTATTTGCTTCTTCTTTTCTTTTTAATTTTGTATTATTTTTGTATCTGTGTGCGTACCTACTGTCGAATAAATGCTTTGTCTTTTTTGTTCTTTCTTTCTTAAAAACCCTAATCATTATTTGAAAAGTTGACCACCACACACAGCCGCGGAGAACCAAACGGGTTACCGGGGCTCCGGCTCGACGTGCTGGAGAAGGAACGGGGTGGTTTTTAGTCAGTAAGTGTCTGACACTCCCGCCAGGGTGAGGCCCCAGGCGGGAGCAGTCATTCGATGATTTTCCCCTCTTAAAAAAAAACCACCACACACCAAGAACAAATCGTAACACAATAACAAACTGTTCTATCAGTGGCGTGCTTGTCGGGGCCTCGTATAAAACATTTGGTAGGGGTCTTTGAAGGGTAAAAATTTCCTTTACCTACTAATAATAATTTGTGTGAAAACTGGAAAACTTTCCAGGCAACTACCTCTGCCCAAATTAGCGGACTATGATTAGATACTTTAGTTTTACTAGTTTCTTATCAACCAACCTTTGAATGTATGCTATACGCGACAAAATTCGTTTATTTTGACTTTTTTGACAATAAAATAAAATAAAAATTGCGAAGTTCTTATTAATTTTTGCTTACGCACGTTGGGGACCTCTGTAGTCCGGGGGCCCTGTATAATTGATATGGCAGATAAGGCGCTTTTTTTTTTTAAGGGGGGAAAATCATCGAATGACTGCTCCCGCCTGGGTGAGGCGGAAGGGAGTGTCAGACTCTTACTGACTAAAAACCACCCCGTTCCTTCTCATGCACGTCGAGCCGGAGCCCCGGTTACCCGTTAGGTTCTCTACGCGCCTATGTTCTATACGTCACCAATGAATATCAAACCAGTCTAACCGTGTATCCAGTTCAATATAACTTGGAACACATTCAACGCCAATTTGCAGGGTCGATCCGATCAATTTCTATCCGGGTAAGCCGGTCCTAACTTGTGAATATCCTTGCGGATTTACAATAGTTCGACATACTTTTGTAGCAAGCGATATAAAGGAATATATTGTGGGTTATAAATCTGTGGTTCTGGGTTATACTTATAAGACGGCCTCGTTGGCCGAGGGGTCGCAAGTGCGACTGCCGGGCAAGGGGTCTCGGGTTCGATTCCCGGTTCGGGCAAAGTATTACTGGGTTTTAAAAAAATCTCAGTAGTAGCACGGGGTCTAGAATTGTACCCGGTATATGGCAATAGGCTCACCCCCTATTACATGGGACTCATAACATAAATAGTGAAAAGTGGGTGTTAATTCTGTGTGCACCTCTGCCTACCCCTTCGGGGATAAAAGGCGTGATGTTATATTATAAATCTGTGTTATTTAACTTATTTTAAGTGGATTGTCGTGATGCATGGATGCGTGATTTATTATGTTGTTTAAAACACAAATTCGAGAATAAATATTTATAAGTATTTTGAGTTCAGTAGCCTGTCTTGATCTATACCTACGATATAACTAAGTACCTATTTGAAGGTGGTTCGATAGCAAGCAATAGTTATGATTAAAAATTTCAAATAATCATCTTGTGCGTCTAACTATGGGATCCTTGCGTGGCTTAAAAAATTCGTGCAAACCTTTAAAACTCGACTAGTTCAAGACTAGTCTTAATTATTAATTTAAAAAAGCGATAAACTACAAACGTACTTTTGTAAGTCAATATTTTAAAATTAACCTCTCCGGTATAACAAGCATGCTGCCTCATTAGCCGAGTGGTCATAAGTGCGACTGCCGGGCAAGGGGTCTCAGGTTCGATTCCCGGGTCGGGCAAAGTATTACTGGGTTTTTAAAAAATCTCAGTAGTAGCACGGAGTTTGGAATTGTGCCCGGTAAATGGCAATAGGCTCACCACCTAATACATGGGACCACCTATTACATCTGTGCATGGGACTCATAACATTAATAGTGAAAAGTGGGTGTTACATGTCCAGTGGCATTAAGTGCCGTAATGTGCACCTCTGCCATCCTTTCGGGAATAAAAGGCTAATACAAACATAAGCATTCTTATATTATGTGGTGATATGTGTTATTGTCACTTACCATGATACCTTTGAGCTGATTCACCAGTGGCGAATCAGCGAAGAAGTTGTTCACCGCGGTGAATATGTTTGTGCGTTTGTTCGTCGCGGAACAGCAGGCGTTGCCACGCCCGCCCAGCTTGCGCTAAACAAACAAACAAACAGACATGTTAATAAACGACTTATCACCATCTACTTACAAAATACAATGTTTAATGGAGCAGGGATGGCTATTAGGGGCACGCAACGCAACACGAAGATCATATCACGTCACTAATCATTATAAAATTTATGGTCGACGACGTACTACAGATATAACAATGTCCAAGATTTTAATTTTTTTCTTTTTAAAAAAAGTTGCCCCCACTAGGATTTTCTTCTGTGTCGTGGGTGCTTTTACAAACATACAAGTTCACATACACATGACACCCAGACCCGGAACAACAATTTTTGGATCACACGAAGAGTTGCTCCGTGCGGGAATCGAACAAGCTACACGCAGCCAGTTGGCCAGCCACCGTGTCCGCGGTGCAGCAAATTTATAATAACTATCTTGAGACATTACTGAATTAACTTAAAATGACGGGTCAGTCGTGTGCGGTCATTCGTCCGTAGGAAGCGTCCCTCTGTGACACGAAAGTAGTAGAGCTTTCTTCGGTATATTTACGTGAGTGACACATCATTTTAGTTAATGGCGCATCATCGCTTACCACCAGGCGACATAGTGGTCAAACGTCGGCCCATCCCTACATAGTTTAAAACAAAACAAAGTCGCTATCCGCCGTCTGTCTGTCCCTATGTATGCTTAGATCTTTAAAACTACACGACGGATCTTGATTCGGTTTTTTTTAATAGATAGAATTATTCTAAAGGAAGGTTTATATGTATAATACATGCATATTGTTCCCGTGCGAAGCCAGGACGGGTCGCTAGTAAAATATAAAAAAAAGAAATATCTCTGGATGTCGCCTGGTGCACTTTACTTTTACGGTGACTTGACACTTTACGCTCACTATCAGAGAGTATCTTGTTGTTATAAGGTATTGTGCTAGGGAGACAGGCGTCAGGCTATGTATGTATGTACTGCGCTACTGGCAGTGGGTGATATAAAAGTGAACATTTATGCTTCACTAGCTAGCCCGTTTTATGCTTCACTAGCTAGCCCGCGACGGGAGACGCCATGGGAGGATTTAATCGTGGTAAAAAGTGTCTGCCTGCCCTACCTATACATATATCATCAAAATCCGTTAAGTAGTTTCAGCGTGATTGACGGACAAACATACAAACATCTAAACAAAGAAACTTTGATACTTATTTATAATATTGTGATTCATAACGTCGATAAAAATGTTACGTTGATACGTAAAGTTTCGCCGTCCCTATAATAGGAACAAAATACTTGAAAATACGCCTTGTGTTTACAAAACACACTCATCTGGCAATACTTTTTTATTTACTCAAAGATGGATGACTGTTTGGCCAGCTAAAGTAGGTGAGCAAAGCAAGGAGTTTCACCTTGTAATAAGTTATTTACGAAATCAACGTGTCTATGGTTTATGTCTGCCATCTATATACATTCTAGGTAAACTGAATCAGCTACACATATGTTGGTGTTGTTTATTTTCCTCTAATGAGGAGATTCAAATATATTTGGTGGTTTGGTCGCTGTAAGCATGGAAATGTAGGTGCTGGTGGAATGATACCGTCACGTCCATCAACGTAGGTTGAGGTTTATAGCACCTGTGTATTTAGTACCTATAAGGCAGGTAAATAAATGCCTATTATTTGGTTTCCTTTTCTCATTCCATTCGCCAAAGACGAACTAATTCTAATACATTTTTCAGCCAATCACAACCATCCACTTTCGAATTAACCGTTTGAAATTTGAACAATTTCTTCAAATTGTTCAATTTTCAAACTGAGTCTTCCCTCAAAGGACCATTTTCCGTGACTCCATTTTGATTTTGCTAAAATACGCGCGCATTCGAGAGCTTCCATGTTCAAATTGAAGCTGACAGCTGTCAAAGTAATTGCCAGGAAATCGTAATGGCGGCGTGACGGATTGGCGCGTTTCGAATTAATTTCATTTGTATTAAACACATAGCTTTATCATTAAAGTTTGTGTGTTATGTGATTCTGTGTGTAATTTACGGAGAAATATAATAAATAAACAGGTTTCCGTTTTAATAACATAGGTATGAGTAAAGTTATTTCGGTTTGCTTAACATAAAAACCTTTAGTAGTTTCGTTGCTAGATATAAGTATTTTCGAAGCCAAAGTAAAGTAAATCATTTGGTTTACGTCATCGCGTAATAAGAATAGTTAAACGTAAGTATCTACCTACATACCATATTGAATCGACATCGTAAAACTAAATGAGAACCATAAAATGTTCCATTACCGACACATTTCATTAAGGCACACAATTTAATCCATTATGGCAATAAAATCATAATGCAATTATATGTATAATGTAACCTATTAGTATAAAACGTTGCTTTAGTAGCGTGATGACGACGGAGAACTTAGGTCACCATCTCAAACTCTTCGCATGGGTCTATACCCATGCGAAGTCGCGGAGAACCTAACGGGTAACCGGGGCTCCGGCTCGACGTGCAGGAGAAGGAACGGGGTGGTTTTTAGTCAGTAAGAGTCTGACACTCCCTTCCGCCTCACCCAGGCGGGAGCAGTCATTAGATGATTTTCCCCCCTTAAAAAAAATACCCATGCGAAGAGATAGAATGCTAGACTTAGAATAGTAGCCACCGACTATTGAAAACCGCTCTTAATATTATTTTTAGACTAATCTAAGTTTTTAACAGAATCTGCAAAATGTATGCAAAAATGACAATAACGATTGGTGTTTTTCGGCCGCATAAAAGTTCACTTGTGTTAGACGACAAAAATCAACTAAATGAACGTTACTAGTTTAATCTGTATTATCGAAAGCACTAACTGTCATGTTAACGATGTCATCTGTCAAATGTGACAGATTAGTAAAGTTTCCCGCGCAAAGAGTTGTAAAGGGCGATTCTGGTGGGAAGTTTGCCGAGCACCACGCTGTGTTCTTATGAATCCGTTTAGAATAAAAAAATCAGTATTCAAGTATTGAGTTTTACTTAAAACTTGTTAACTAAGAATCAAAAACAAACGAAGGGGGTTGGGGCCTTCAGGGCTTGTGGCGTTACAGTCTCGTTACTAAGAACGTATAGCGTATATAAGTGGATACTAAAACACCTAAACCATAAGCAGTGTAGGAAAATTTGGCAAGATTCACAATCTGTATTGAACTATTGACTGCTTAAGCATAATGTATATTTCAGGTATGTATGTATACCTATGAAGCATCTTCCATTCTCCCTGACGCAATAACGTGACGTGAGCACTCGTGGCAAACACGAGTCGCAACGTGTGCTATTTAATAATAAATATTTATATGTATATATTCAGGCAAATATCGACCTTAACATTAAGGGGTTTTAAAGTTAGCTATTTATTTATCCACTTTCAACTATCATTTTGGACTGGCATTATTCATTAAACCAACGTGGAAGAGAACTATTTCATTTATAGGAATTAAAAAATCAATAGAAATAAATAGGTCCGCCTCCTTTCTCCTCTATTAGGCCTCGTCTCATCGTGCACTTCAATTTCCCTCATAAGAACCTTTCACTTCTTCTTCACACGTAATTCAATATCCGTCCATCTTTTCCAGTCTTCTCAAAATTTTTAATTTCACTAACAATGTTTATATTGTCTTTCTTCCTTCATTAGTTACATCATTATCATTTCTCATTAGTTACAAGGAAGGAAATGAAATGCATTTTCGAGCTTTGTTTAACCCCATATTTTTTTCGTCACCCTGTTTTTCCGTTAACCAATGAAATGAAGATGATACGTCAACTCCAATTTTCCTGTTTACCTCTTTTCCGGATAAAGACCAAATTATTTAAAGAAAATGTCAATTGTGAGACTGATCGACTAAATTAGAAACCAATCATTTCTTGCTGAATGCTTTTATAGCGTAAAGCAAACAATGAATGCTTTTCTAAGTGATACCTATGACATTTGGAAATATTTTCTGCCTAACTTTGATAAAGCGATTTTCCAATAGGGATTTTTTGGGAATATTGTTGATTGGGTAATTCCGTTTTGTCTTATGTGTGTATGTTAATCGAGTAGGTTCCTTGTAAAATTCCAAATCTTTATACAAGCCAACTCCATAAAACCTAATTTGCACAAATAATCCCGCCGTGACTACTGTCAGGACCGAAAACTTAGTTAGCAAATAAATGTTCCCGGAACTTGACAAGTTCACAATAGTAAGTACAGCCCCACTATATCCACAGAGGGATAGAGGGTGACCTTTCTATTCTGTTGACAGGTCGGGTCGATAAGTGAGTACCTGGTTCACTGTATTGTCCTTTCAATTCTTTAGTAAAACCACTATATCTTGATCTTTCGCATTCCCTATTTGAGGCCTTGGCTGTGACGTTGTAAGCTTGGTAACACTATGTATAAAACTAAAATTATTGTAGTACTACGCCACACTGTTCATTGGGAAAGTCTACCTACTTGATGTTGGGCTAGATAAAGTAAGCTTTCGCATTAAAGTTATATTTGAAGTCGGTTTCTTTAATTTTTGGCCTATTTTGCAAACCGGATTTACATGTGGGAGACCCGAATAATCAAATATCCGAATTGTAAGTTGCAACTAGAGGTCATTTTTAAAGAGGATGCTATCAATCAATTAAAATTAAATGTTTTTATTAAACACAAGGAACGTAATCACTATGCCACCGACCTTAGCTACACCTGACTTTATAGTTTATTGCAAGAAAATAGTGAGAAATGTAATAAAAGATAGATTGGGGTAGTTTCCTTTACAGGTTACTGACTAACACGCCTCCATTTCCTACGCACAAACCATAAGCACAATCTTATTGCTACTTTTAATCCTACGCTCCGCATTAATCTTAACAATTTTCCCGCCTTTAAACTCGATGACGTCAAATTCCGTTACGCCGCCATCTTTCCCCGTTCCATTTTATTTTTTAAATAATAAATAGCTGCAGTTTATATTTATTGAACGAGTCAGCTTGCCAGTGGCCGGTACAAAGCTTCGCTTGAATGAAATTTTACTGC